CAATGTCCCTCATCTAGATATAGAGGCCCTGAACTAGAGATGTGGTCTATAGGAGTTACACTATATACTTTGGTGTTTGGGGAGAATCCTTTTTATGACGTTGAAGAAACAATTCGTGCTGAATTACATCCATCATTTCCAGTGTCACAAGGTTAGTATATTAGGATATTATCAAATATCAATTAAATTGTTAAACAAAGGGGAGAAAAGAAAGTATGGGATAGGGAATATCAAAGGGAGCAGAGGGTGATAATGCATGCAGGAGATAAAGGGGTACAGAGGGATACGGTATTGGAGCTACAGTGATGTGGAGTGGTAACAAAGAGTTATTTGAGGCAGAAGAAGGACAATATGGCATAGTTGACAGAGGAATACCAGACATGGGGTAGAGGAATATACTATAGGAGATACAGTAATAGAGAGTGGGTGGTAACTTGGAAGAGTTATCTCCTGGTAGCTGCAGTGTAGTAACTGTGTTGTTAATCTACAGAGCTAATGTTTGTTATATGTTGGTTACTGCACCCTGACCCAAAATGGAGAGCAACAATCCAAGACTTAGAGACAAATGAATGGATCATCCAACCAGTAGAAATAACAAAGTACGATTTTGAAACTGTTTTAGGTAAGTTAAAGTAATTCTTTTTCATGTCTCGTATAAGCCTTGTTAGCAGGACGTAATGTTTTCTTATTTTAGATCATGTCATATTCTCTTGAGAATAAGATTTACTGTATTCATACATGTGTCATTCTCATCCACATCTGTGAAACAAAGAAATGATACTCTAGGGAATGACATGTGGTCTCAAATGGGAAAACATTATACCCAAGCTAGAGAGGTCAATTGACATGTGCTGATGTCTACTTGTTGCATATTTTCTATAGCATCAGGGGAAGAGGCAAGCCCTCATTTTCCACCTCCTCCAACATCAGCGCCAAATGATGATTTTGAAGATGAAGACGATGATGATTTATCCCAGGATGAAGTTATAGACTACGAACAATCAGACCTCAAACTACTTCAATCTGCCATGCAAGAGTATCTGAGTAGATCTAGTGATAATAGTGATGGCGACAAGTAGTCTCTGGTAGATTTTCTGCCTCACAATCCCAGATTCATATATTGGATCTTAAACAAGCATCTCCTGTTATTTGCAGGTCATTGTCGGGGCTTAAAATAATGGCTGCACATCATACAATGTCCGGCCAGAGCTAGGACTTGTCCAGTCAAATGTTTGCCTTGCTGGTCATTTTGACCATGTAACGTTGAGCCAAAAATGAGGCAAGACTAAGCTAAAACTAATTAGGGACACTAAAAGATGTTTGAGTATCATCAAGAGAGGTAAATTTCTTAATAACGAACGTGCCATGTAAATCCCTGGTTGGACTATTTTTAGTAACCGGATGCAGTTTTAATTTTGCCTTACCCTATTCCTGTGTGTCATCAACTTGCGCGCGCGTGCGATTTCCGTTTATTGTTTTGATCACTAAGAATGAAATGGAAAGAAAAGGGCACACAAGTTGATGATGCACAGGAGTAGGTAAGGCAAAATTTAAACTGCATCCAGTTTCTAAAAATAGCCCAACCAGGGAATTACCATGGGAATGTACAACTTCCAAAGGGATAAACTTTTAACCAAATGAATATTATCAAAACTTCTAAAAATAGCATTATCTTGGGAATGTGTTAATTTGTTAATTTTTTAAATTTTATTACTCATTCAGCATATTATTATTTAGTGTGTTCCTTTTTTAGCATTTTTCAAAGTTATATTTTTTAATGGAAAAAGCTGAACACATATTTATAATTCATTCTGCACATCCCAGATGTGATGCTATTTTTAGACACAATCTTTTTAAAATTGTCCAACCAATGACAGTAATATAAATCATATTTATAATTATAAATATTATTAACATTTTAGTATTTATTACTAAAAAAATGAGTGTGGTGTTTTAAATAATATTATTAAATATTACAATCATGGTTGTTTTAATTACTAATAACAATATCTCATATTATTGAACATATCAATAAATTAACCATGTACATTTTATCATAAACTTGTGTGAACTTTTCTTTAAATTGTTGATTTATTAGAGGTGCATGAGTAATATCTACTATGAAAATTAGCTAGTATACACCTATTTTTAAAACCTTTGTCATCGCCAAAGGCGATAGGTGATAAGCCATTACGACATGGAAATGGTTTCGTTAAATACAAATATCATTGAATTGGTCTCAATACTAAGGTCCGTTTTCTTGACGAGAATAAGAAGCAGAAACACAAGTYATTCCAGCTATTCTTGTATCTTGAAATGACCTAATTATTGCTTCTCACCTTTGGTGATGACAACCTATTTTTAAATAGGTAAAATTATAAACACGAGCCATCAGGTGAGTGCACAACACATAGTTTACACGAAATTGCAAGTGTCAGGATAAAGCAAAGCGTGTTCTGTGTCATAAAACATTTCAGCAGAGAATACAAAGAAAGAGCAGAATATATTCCAACAAATGGTATACCATATACAAATACTTGACCTTTAAAGGCAATAACTTATTTTAATTATTTCATGTATTTAAGTATAATACAGTTTTATATTGGCTGTAATTTAAATTCTTTATCAATAATTTTAACACTTATTAAGCGGAATAACATTTTACAACTGAGGTTTTATCGGAAATTCCATTCAAATTAATGTTATGTTTTGTGAGCAGCATTTCAGTGAAAATGCTTGCAAAAGCATTTTAGTCTAATATTACTAGTTAAAAAAATATATTTAGTGTGTACTAAAATATCTAATTTCACTTAATAACTGTCTAGGTTTTCATTGATTACTCTAAGATATTTATTTATACATAGTGAATAACATTTTCTTGTTATGTTTCTTATTAAAATTATTCACAGGTTTTCGTGAATGACAATGTTTTTCTATTGTAAATAGTACTGACCACTATGAAGTACTAATAGTACATTGTGTAAAAATACTATAATTAAAGTAACAAAATAGAAAAATAAACTATAAAATCTTAAAGAAGATTGGTCTTGAGTAGGATGTGAGAGGAATTTTTAGATGGGTGGTAATATTTCTATCCCTAAGATTTCAAATTATTTATTAATAGTGTGTATTTCTTAACTCCCTTGCAGAAGTTTGCTGTGACTAATATACCCTTTTAGTTTTGGCATATCATGTTTTATTTCAAACCATGTGTCATTTCCTAGAGTATCATTTCTTTGTTTAATGGTTGTGCATGAAAAAATTGAACCCAAACAAAGAAACTTAAAATTTTAAATTCTCTGGTATTAACAAAAATCTAAAAAAATGACAGTTAAATTCTCTTTAATTAATACATGTACATAAAAATTCATAGCCATGATATCAATTTTTTTTTTTTAATCAAAAATTTCCCTTTGATTAGTTTAAAAAAATAATTATAGCTGCAATTATTTATTTTAATATCTGTGAAAAAACAATTTGTTTCGTTGCAGTTACAAAAATAATTTTCATCTAGTAATTACCAGGTATATATATATATATATATATATGATATGATATATGATATGATATGATATATGATATAACTTAGCAAAGCATGAGTAGTGGATGTACTCCATATAAAGGGGTGGCTAGCCACCTTAAACCGATCCACTTCGATCTGCCCTTGTATAACTATTCATTTTGATAGCTGAAGTCGCCCTTTGCTTCACCATAATATACCACATATGATGGCAAGATGTGATGAGATTTAAAAATGACCAATTCTTTCCCATCAGGGGAGGTGTGGGAATCGTAGCCTGTCTGTAATGGCTCTCCATCGATGAGATGCATGCAGCGATATGCTTTTCCAGGAAGAACTTGACATAGCAGCAGTTTAGACGCACCCTTGATGTATGTCATGGAATAGGAGGGGTACTCACTGAAATATACACCCCTGCCGTAATTACCTGAGTTAACAAAAGAACAGATTATAACTATATAAGGCTGCGTTTATAAAGTATAGCAGAGGGGTAGGGGGGGAGCAGGTGCAATCTTTAAATGACAAAAAAATTCTTAAGACCCACACTTGAAGTCCCCCCAAAAAATAACTATTTCCCTGGGCAATCTCTCAAAGCTTCTTCCTAAAATTTTGCATCCTCCCAATTCTCTGAAAAAAAATTTCAAACCCTCCCATTTTACTGGTAAACATTTTCCCAATCTCCCCTAAATTTTACCTGCCCAACCCCTCTGCCATACATTATGAACGCAGCCTAAGCATCAACATTAATAGAAAATTAATAATGTTGCCACTATAACCTCTCCTGCAGCTGAAAGTGAGATGGAGAAAATGAGATACACATCCTATGCTATACTGGTGTGATTAATATATTAATACATTATAATTAGTAATTATGCATGGTTTAAACGATTATTGGATAGGTAGAAGTATAGAACCCTTGTAGGCTCTTAACCATGAATTCAGAAAACCAGGTTTCTTGGCTTCCATCAATCAAGTTTCCAATAGTATTAGTTAATTTTGGTAATATTTGATTGACAGATACCAAAAACCCAGATATTTTGAGCTGTGCTGGTTGCACGGGTGGTGTAGCGGTGAGAGCGCTTGCCTCTCACCAATGCGAACCTGGTTCGAGTCCCGCTGAGCTCGGTGTCGTATGTGAGTAGAGTTGCTTGTTGGTTCTCTCCTGTGCTTCGAGGGTTTTCCGGGTTCTCCGGCTTTCCTCCCTCCGTAAATCAACTTCTAAATTCCAATTGGAATCCAGTGGAAGAAGAGCCACTCGTGGAATCCACTGTTAATCCCATTATTTATTTATTTATTTAAAATAGGTGTAATGGCTTGCAAGCAAACTGAAAATCTACTTATGCAATTCTTCGATTGCACGTTACGTCATCGAGGCCATGTTGGTGCCATTTAACAAAAGATTTCTCATTAGCATCCATTGTTAACGGCACCACAATGGCCGCCATGGTTTTGTCTTTTGACTCTCTTGGGAATGCTTGCAACTCATCAATATATTAAATTACCAGAATCAGTTGCATGTTCAAAGTTAGCATCACCAGGCAGTCTGAATCCCGTCTGTGCAATAGAATGGATATTTTCTTCTTTGGTCCCATGGAATGCTAGCACAGGATAAGAATCACTCTCTCCTCTCATCTGCTTCAAGTTATCTTGTGCCTTCTTGAACATTCTCAGCAAGATTGGGTTAACGATATAATCTACCTTAGTGACACGGTATTTATTTGCTGTATCAACCAGCCGATAAAACTGGGACTCTGAAAAATTAAATTGTATACATACAAATGATTCAAAAGAATATTTATATTTATAAAACCGCCTCCCGGTTAGCTCAGTTGGTAAGAGCATTGGTCTGTTGTGTGGGAGGTGTTGGCTCAAGCCTTGGCCGGACCAATTAACACTCAGGGTCTTAAAATAACTGCGGAGAAGGTGCTGCCTTTGTTATTACATCTGCAAATGGTTAGACCTTCAAGTGGCTTGGATGACCACTTCGAACGGAGATCCCGTCTCTCAACACCCATCATTACTAACCAACATCGGAGGGACGTAAAAGAACCACTGAGGATGTAAAGAAACCCTGGCAGTGACCACCCTCAGTGACTACACCTCATACTAACTACCTCTCGTTCTTAACTTATTGTAAAGCGCCTTTGAACATATCCATATGGAAATGCGCGCTAAATAAATATCTGTTACTGGATTGAAATGGATTTATGACAGTTATGCCTGAGAGTACATGTGGGAGGGGATATTGTCAAAACTCAAAAGGGTTAATTTGACATCCAGTGCAATCATCCCCCCAGGTCCCACCCTTGAAATTGTCTATCATTATCTTGAACAAAAGACAGATACCTGCTAAACGAAAATGGATCTGGGCAGCAGACCCTTCTTTGTACTCTCTCTCAGCAAACAAAGGGAAATAAACCATCTCATCTTTCTCCAACGCTTCTATTTCCCCCTCAATCTTAGACGTTTTTTCCAGCTGACTGTGTACTCTTTTCAACATCTTATTTTTCTCAGCTATGATCTTATGTGTATCGTTTAGTTCTTTTTTCAACATGTCTTTGAGTTCAAATGCGCGTCGGATAAGTTCTTTGCGTTCGTCTTCAGTCAGGATCGAGTAACAACGAAGAATACTTGTACCTCTGCTGAGAACTGTGTCGTCACGAGGGATTCTAAGCAAAGCATAATTATAAAATAAAAATAAGTATAAATAAAAATGAAGTATAGAGTGCAAACAATATAACCGTGAAACTTTAGCAATACTAAATAGCACAATTTCATGCAAATTCCATTGTTTTCTATTGTTTAATTAGCACTATTTTGTACTATTTAGTAATTACTGTTTCACGGATTAATTGTTTGCTCTATAAATAATAATGAAAAACAATTATAAAAGATCTCGCGAAAAATTAAATTCTATACAAAGCATTTATCTTTAATTTAAACATAATTATAAATAACGATAAAAAACAATACGACTACGTTTATTTTCATTGTTTGAGAAAGGTGTTAGACAATACATAATCACATAGTTAATATGATAATCACACCGGCTGAAAAGTTAAGGGGGAAAAAACGGCTGATTTTTACCGCGAGAACCCGTGAACTGGTATATCATATGGTACTCACGAAGAGCTAGAGAGAGTGTTATTGATGCCATCTTCTTCATCTGGTTTATCTTCGTAGTCATCCATAACTTCTTGTGTGGCCTCACATGACTGATAGCCTTCACTAAGTTCCACTTCGTCACACTCGTCTTGTTCCTTCACCGAGTAGCTTCCATTCTCGTTGTCGCTGTTTTCTTTAGATTCCTCAGTGACCGGATGTCTAAACTCTGCAAAATGAATCAATTCAGTTTCTTCACAGTCTACTCCCTTAGGGCAAAGTGGAAGGCCTTTATCACTGTTTGCATGTCTTGGTTCTTGGTCTCGTGCGTGACACCTCTCTACGCTATTGTTCTCCAAACTTTCGGGGTGTTGAAATTCTTTCTTATGCTGTGAACTACTCTTAAAGCACCGTACACTATATTTACACATAGGTCTTGTATCTGTGGTGATATTTCCATTATCATTTTTAAGATCATTGGGTCGTATTTTAGGCTTTTTCTTGACCGGCTCCAGATACTGTCCCTGATCGCTCGCCATGTTAACTCACACGGCAACACGTGGTGAAGACAAAAAGACTGGAAACTAATTAAACTTATTGTAATTCGACCCAGTCTCTGTTAATCGCACTCATCCAAGATGGCGGACGAAGCGTCATAAATCTTCCTTTTCTTATTTTAGTCTTCTAACTTCCTTATTTTAAACTCAAAATAGCTCTAAGCACATGATTTAGTCTTTATATGCGTTTGTTTAATCTTTCAAGGTTATATTACAGTGAACAGAGTAGTTATTTTGGATATATATTATAAAACTATGGCGAATATTCCAACTCCTGTTATCTCACACTTGTCGAGTAAAGACTATCAAGATGTTTACGAGCCGGCTGAGGATTCATTTCTAATGATGGATGCTTTGGAAAAAGATGTTGAGTTCCTGAAAGAGCGTAGGTGAGAAAAAATTCTAAGTTGATTGGAAAAAATTATTTGTTCTATCTTAGCCATGCCATTAATGAGAAAGGACTTCTGTATGGCTACATGTAAACAATATACCGTTAATATAAAATGATATGGATCCAGTGATATACCTCTTAACATTTCTCATATCAGACCACATGTCATTCTCTTGAGAATGAGATTCTTTGTTTGAGGAACTTTGTATTTATTTTGATACTTTGATATTACGGAACTGTACCATGGAAAACACACCTCCTCCCGCCCCCTCCCCCCCCTAAACACACCTAAGACACTACCCCTGCACTCCCCATGCCGTTGTTCCTACTGAGGGTCCCGGGTATGGGCTTTCTGGCTCGTAGGATTTGTTAACAGTAAAGTATACTAACATCAGATTTGTCTTGTGATCAGACCCACTCTTTGTGTTGAAGTTGGCAGCGGCTCTGGGGTACTTATCAGTTTTCTGGCCAGTATCCTGGGGAATTCTGCTTATTATTTGTAAGTACCTGATAGGTATGTTTTAAATATTTGATATTCCAAAAGCATGCATCAATGGGCTAATTTTTCCTTTTTTGGGGTTAAATGGTGATTTGGTAGTAGTGGTATCAATCTACTTCATCTAATCTATTTTACAGGACAACAGATATCAATGCCCAAGCTGCAGTCTGTACAAGAAAGACTGTTGATGTCAATGGATACCACGTCTGTCCAGTTGTCACAAATCTCGTAAGTATAAATCAATGATCACTCACCACCTCCCATTGTGTGGAAGGGATCACAGTATTGCATAACAACACTTTAACATCTGGGTAGAGACTAAAAATAATGTTATCTGGTAAAGCTAACCCAATCTTTGTTTATGTTAGGCATCCAAAGTCTTGTCCGAAGAGTTTTTCTGTATTTTTGGTGGGCAGTGGGGGGGGGGGGGGGGGGGGGGGGGGGGAGGAGGTTGGCAGTAACCAAAAAGCAAGATGACAATGATGGGCTCTGAGGACAAAACTAGCATAGAGTATATACGATAAATGCCTGGGAATTAGCAATATAGAAATCCCAAATGATAGGCTTATAAATGATAATGTATGGTGCTGCCAAAAACAGAGCTTGGGTTAAATGAAATTTAACTCCCAAAATTCACGACAAATCTTTTGACTTTGGTTATGATTTTTTTTCATTCCCTTGAGAAATGTTTTGTTTGTGTTGTATCCATATTTATGTGTCTTCTCATGCAAAACTATTAAAACAAGAAAGAATCCTCTAGGGAATGACACATGGTCTTGAGAATTCTTTGTTTGTGTTGTATCCATATTTATGTGTCTTCTCATGCAAAACTATTAAAACAATTAAGAAATACTCTAGGGAATGACAAGTGATCCATATTCACTGTAGTCTCATGCACAGCCATTAAGTTTAAAGAAATGATACTCTTGGGAATGACAAGTAGTTAGGAATGAGAAAACATTCGCACATGCACAGTTTTCCTAGTGCAATTAAAATCTTGTCCCACAAACATTTGCACATTATCTCTTTTAAAGAATGCTGCAAGGACTATGAAGCATTTTATTTCATTTTTACAGGACAGCAAAGAATTGAAAAACAATGTATAATCATTTTTCCATGATTAGATTTTTGAATTCTGAGATATTCTAGCTAATGTGTTGAGCTTGTAGAACATGGCAACGGTAACTAAGGGGAGTTGTTCAAAACCATGAATTACACTGAAGGCAAGGAGGTCTATTAACATTCATAGCTTAGCAAAATAGTCATAAGTCATTTTCATTTCTCCCTCTCACTCTTTCTGTGTGTATGTTTTTTGTTTTTTGTTTTTGCAGTTAGATGGTTTGATACCAAGATTAAATGGTAAAGTTGATGTCTTGCTATTTAACCCTCCATATGTAGTAACTCCTTCACATGAGGTCAGCAAAAATAGATATAATTTACTACAGATAATGATTTATTATATTTTTAATTTGCTGCAAAATATTGAATTGTGAAGTGGGCTTCCTGTTGGCACAGGAAACCCAAGAATGGTATTATGTAGTAAGCACCCTAAATGTATAATCTAATTTAAGGTTGGTAGTTTTGGTATTGAAGCATCATGGGCTGGTGGTGTGAAAGGTAGAGAGGTAGGTTATCTATGTTAATATCTATTTCAAAAAAGGTCGATATGTGATTAAGCAATAAGAGAAATTTAGATCATTAGTACGAAAAGTACATCAACAATGTTTCAGTCGATGATATTGACTGCGTCCCTGTAAAGGAATTAATGGTCAACTATTCTTAGTTAGCATTTTTTGTAACATTTTCCTTGTCAATTGAGATTGAATTTCACCTAGCAAAGTTCGACAAGCGTTTACAATCAAATTGAAAGATATTGCAAAAGGATTCATATTTCATGGGCTTGCTTGGTAAAATCATGGGAAATGCTAATCAAAGTAGAATATACAATGCTCAATTCTGATTGGTTGATCTCTAGTTTGTCCTAGTGCTGTCAACCCAGCTGGTGTAGTTTATAATGAACACCAATCATTAACTTATTGCCTATCACCCAGACAACCCTAGTTTTTTTAAATAGGTGTACATAACTACCTTGTGCTTGTATATCGTTTTGCCGTCATTTTAATTATGTAACATCTTTGTTTATGATTTAGGTGATTGACAAATTTCTGCCATTAGTGCCGTCATTGCTTTCAAAAACTGGCTGCTTTTATCTTGTTACGATAGCAGAAAACAAACCAGGTAATATTACAAAACAAGATATCTTATGTTCTTCTGATTAAGGACAGTCTTTCAACCAGCGGTATAGCAGTAGTCCTAGAGTTTGATGCATACACAAAGAGTTTATGATGGAAATGTAAGCAGGAAATGGTTGGCTTACACAATGTAGAATGAATACTGAGAATATTGCAAGAAGGGTTATAGGCACTTAAAGACTTACTGACTGTATAACTCTAAGTTCACAAACTCAATAGTAGGATAACTCCTTTCACATTTACTGATAGTGTCACAAATTTTATTACAGAAGAAATAAAAAAGTTGCTACAAGATCTTGGAAATCTAGGCTGTACTACTGTGATGCAAAGAAGAGCAGGTCCAGAAAGACTATCTATCTTAAAGTTTACTCATTGATACTAGTTACTGATCATYTATATGGATGAGATTCTGAGGGAGTGTCATTATTGTGCAGAAATGGTACCAGTTACCACAGCAGATATTTGACAACAAACTGCTCTGGTCCAGTCGAGTGGTTTGCCTGAGTTACAGCTGAGGTAACAGGAACATTGAGTGAAATCATTTTGTATGATCCATGAGCCACAATTCATCCCACAAGCACAACCAATAGCTTTGTAGCCAGCAGGGCAGGTGGCATTGTTTCCATTGGTCTGTACCGGAGTGCACTTCAGTGTAGGAACCTGACCAGGAGGACCATCTCTACCTGGTACACCAGGAGCACCATCTTTCCCCGGTACACCAGGAGGACCCATAGGACCAGGAACACCATCTTTCCCTGGAAAGCCATATTCCCCCTTAATACCAGGATAACCTTGTTCTCCCTTCAAACCAGGATATCCTTTATCTCCCTTATCACCACGATTTCCACTAGCACCAGTATCACCCTTTGGGCCAGGATGACCAGGATCTCCTTTAGGACTAGGATACCCTTTTTCACCAGGTTGACCAGGAGCACCATCTTTTCCCGGTACACCAGGAAGGCCAGGAGGACCAGTACCTCCCCTTAGACCCATAGGACCAGGATCACCATTTTTACCAGGTACACCAGGAGCACCATTTTTCCCTGGCAATCCTCGCACTCCCTTTACAATAGAATAACCAGCACTTCGTTGTCCAGGTGGACCAGGATGTCCCACACAACCAGGATAGCCTTGAATTCCTTTTGGACCTGGTTCTCCCTTGAAACCAGGATAAACGCTTTCCCCTTTTATACCGGTTAGACCCTGTCTCCCTGTGAATCATCAATATTTACAATTTGTTAGGTTTATCTTTCTATCCTTGTTTATACCAGTCTTGTTATCATAGCATGCTGGCTAAGCGACTTGTGCCACAAGTCATGGTCATCACAGATCGTAGCAGGCAAACAAATTTAGAAAAAGTTGACAAGTTAAATAAAATTGGGAGAAAATTTTCTTCATTGATCATTTTGTGCACGTAATAATTGCAAAACAACAAATTCAGAACAATATGGTTTTCGCGCGCATCTTTGTTTTCCTATTTGTTTTTCCTATAATTAAGTCTACTTTTTATGATTTTAGATATAGTCTTTTACTTTTATCTTGAAATTGGGCTTCCTGTGATTGCGGCCAGATATTTATTTCGATGGAGAGGCAAGATGTGGCTTTTGGAAGTGGATAAATTAAATGAACGGTGTCTATTTGTTTTTGACAACGCCAACCAAAAGTAAAGCTTTATTTTATTTGATGCATTCTTTCAGATTTAAGTTTTGGTTTTTATGTACAACGAATCTGAATATAACGACCAAAATTGAACGGCTTTGGTTCAGGACTGACTAGCCTCGTGTTCACGTGAAAATATAGCCAATCATAATGCAAATAAGCTATTTCAAAAAAAGTTAGTGAATATTTTGTCGCATATTGCATGCTGCATATAACAAGCCTGTAATGCACTATGGGCCTTGTGAATTTTATTTGCAAAAAGTCACGACAATATCTGAAATTTTCCTAAACTTTGTCCGCACAATTTTCTGGTATATTTTCTTTTGTGTTGACATTATTTACACATGAGTATAATAAAGGTTTTCAAAAAGAAGCTTTTTAAGATTTTGTCATGATCATATCACGAATTTATGATGGTTTTTGGAACTACACCAACTTTTATTGGAATATGTATTCCACAGAAATATAAATCTATACGGTGGCCCATAAGGGACTGATACAAATTTTGCTACTTTTTTTCTTTGTTGGTTTTATTTCAGAAAGTTTCTGAATATTTTTTGATTTCCCAAATCAAAATTTTCAGTTGTCACACCACGAAATTTCAAGTTGTCAAGGCAAAAATGTCGAGATGCCAACACAAAATTTCGAGATAAAATGTTGAGTTACAGCACGAAATGAGCAGTTATAATTCGAAATGTGAAATTTGTAACTAGGAAATCCAACTCTTTGAAATGTGTCAAACTTTTATTTGAATGTGAAAACCTAATTCAGGTGTGCATGACCCTTAAGGGCCACCGTAATTTACTTAAATAACTCTACACTAATTCACTTGTGACCTTTCAGTTTATAATAGAACAAGCATAGCATCTATGACTAGTAATAACTAACCCTCAAAGCCATAATCGCCTTTTTCGCCCTTCACTCCTTGAACCCCTTGAGGTCCAGGGGGGCACCTAGGAGGCTGATGATAATAATAATAATAATAATAATAATGATGATGATGATGACGATGATGATAATGATGATGATAATATAATAGTAATGATGATAATGATGATGATAATAGTAAAAATAATAATGATGATGATGATAATAATAATTAATAATAATAATAATTCATGATGGTGATAGAGTGATTGCGGCAGGGACAGTGATACCTATCCTAGTCCCTTTGCAGCTCAGTAATCACGTGCTGAGTAATTCAGTGAGAACAAAGGGCCTATTATAACAACAATAATGCGATGACGGACATGCAGTGGAAAAAAATGACTTAGACATTAGAGAAATTACTCTTCTTATCGATCACATTTATTATTTGATGGAAATTTTTATAGTTATTCTATTTTAGTACTTATACTCTTTCTTCCATTATTATTTAACCTTTCAACATTATTATATGAATTACCATTAAGGTGGCTCAACTCCCAAGACGTTTTTCGGTAGTTCTAATCAATAGGACATAGTACTCTATGGCTACTTCAGGTTCACACATTGATACCCAACAGTCTAACCATATTAAAGTTTGTAAGTTTAGGATTCAATTTTTATGGAGCTGATCACATATAAGGTTACCATGGTAACACTACGTCAGCTATAATGAAGGTCATTCTTTTCATTAAAAAATTAAAAACTCAAGTTTTCCACGGAGAATTATAAAAAAAACAACACTTTTTATGATGAAAGTGCGTTACTTCATCTTTCATTTGACACTACAGATGTTCAAATAATGCGAAATGTTCAATTAGCCGAATAAAAGAAATTCCACAATACCGAATTTCTGAATATTTTGAAAACTGTTGATGATAAAAAGAATATAGAATTTTGGAGACATTTTATTGTCTATTTTTTGAGTTATTTCAGAAAAACAATTACGTGTGGGAACGATATGTTCGTGACGTCATCAATATAGTTCTGGTTCTGCGCATGCTCGTGCACAACCTAGCTGGCGCGCTCGTACAAAAACTATGTTGAGCCACCCAGTTATAGGCTTTTAGTAAAAATACGCAGGTGATTATAGAAAATCTCGTGCGCTGATTGGTCAAGAAACTCACACTATCACACGATAATCACCTCGAGCGAAAATCCAAAATTGCGGCCAGCCGCTTTGTTGTTGTTACGGGAAAAAAATGCCTTTCATCTTCTTTTTTTTTTTCCTTTTTTGAAAGAATCGCCTGCTTATTTAGACTAAAACAATTATTTGCCTCAGGCTCAGTGATTATTGGGTAATATTTACCTCGCCGCTGGAAGACTCGCGTCTCGGTAAATATTCCACGATATTCACTTCGCCTTCGGCGAATAATTGTTAAATAGGGGAGCTCCCGCGCAAGCGGAGCACCATACCTAAGAAAAAATGGTAAACAGTCGAGTTGATTTTTCATGGCTTGGCTGACGTCATTTCCGTCCGTACGTACGGGCGTCCGTGTACACAACACAACGATCCCGCTTGATGTCAAAGCAAAACTACTCAAATGCACAGAAAAAATCGCTTTAATTATAAACCAACGACAAATTAAAAAAAAACAAACTTGCATTTCTTCAAAGATGGATCAAGAAGTGTTCTTCAAGAATTCAGGTGTGTGTTTTTTTAGCAAACAATAATATATTACTTAATACTCATTTTGACAAGAATTTCCAGGAATTCAAAGCTTAAAAGTTTTGGTCATGAAAAACTTTGTCGAAGAATCTTCCAAGAACAAAACTAGCCCCTGGGGGGGCTGGTAATGAGTTGTGTAAAAATATCATATAAGTGGGAGAGTATACTCGCGCAAAAAAAGAAAAAAAGAAAAAACAAAAACAAACAAACAAACAAACAAACAAAAACAATGTAGTGCATTTCGATTTGATTTCAATGCATAGTTTTTATTTATGGAAGAAATTATCTTCATTTCGAATAAGAAATAATAGAAGATTTTTTCCCGATCTTATTTTTACCTTTGAGTTTCATTCAAATTGGGCAACCTGTGACTTGCGTATCGGGAGCGTTTTTAGGCAGTGCCTAAATGTATATTAAAGTATTTGTCTAGGAGGTCCCTCGTGGTATCGTCAATATAAGATTATTATTCTTATTATAAGTGTGCTCATTATATTTAAACGCCGTTAATGGATAACTTACATATGAGCATAAGGAATATTTACATATTCCTACATATCTACATATCTTTTATCGTACTAGTCAGTAGTCTTGTACGTTAATGTCGTCACGCAACTCTCACTTCCCTAACGTTGCGTGACGGCACTAATAGCGGTCAGTTACTGCCAAGATAAATTATGCTCTCCAATTCTCAAACCCAAGTGAGTGGTTCAATCAGGTCACTCATATCCCTGATTCGTTCGGCATATTTTAGCACAAAATATTTCCTTGCTACAGTTAGTTTATCACTAAATAGATCACAGTAGCTCAACCAATCAGAGCGCAGGATTTGCGATAGACCGTTGACCGATCTTTATCATCGGGTATAAGAAAACTGATCTCCCTTCGTTAGTGTAAGTAGAACAAGCTCGGTACTAAATAAAACTGGATGGCCAAGTTTCAATACTTACCCTAAATGATAGTGCACAACATATCGTTTGGATCAACACAAACGCTAACACAAGAACCTTGACTCTGACTAACATCATGCAACTACACCAAAAATGGATATGTTCTTGATACCAGGTCTCGGTTTGAATGGGTGATCTTAAAGGACGTTTTGTATTTTATTCCTGTCGAGATCGTAACCAGAGCGAGATATTCTCTGGCGGATTAATGAGGTCAAAAGGTAATCTTCATTTCAATAACACGTATTCCGCCAAAGTCTTAGGCAGAGCAGAAATTATTTGATTCCAGTAGCCAGCTCGATATTCTGCGTGGGGTAACGAAATCTGCTGATGAGGTCATTGAAATGATTCCGGCATCAATATTGGCAGAGCAGAAATGAAACCCAATACTTTAGTTTCGAGTTGTCTGTTGCTCAGGGTTAGCCTCGTTTTTGTGTTCCATGTGTTCCAATGAAGGTCCGTGGAATTTCAAAGTCTTTTTATTGTAGAAGTTGTGCATTTTTTACGTATTTCACTGTTGGTATTTGTGAATATTTAAACACTGATACTAGGCTAAGCCTGAGCAAATTTTTTCTTTGTAATCAAGGAACAGCAGTAGTTTGGGACTCGAAAATGTTTTCAAGTCGTTCTTCTTTGTGCTTGACGGGTATTTGTAGTCGGGTTAAAATGCAATCGATTGTCATGTAAAAACATCGTATTGAATCTGCCCTACGACATGGCTGCCCTACTCCGGCCACTCTGGAATTCTATTCGGTTGTTGATGTTTTTTGCGGTGTATTGTTTTAATTATACCCTTTTGTACCAGAGGTTCATAGTTGTTCCCTTCAGTCTCTTTTGTTGTTTCGAGCTCTGGAATTCAGGGTAATTAATGAAATTCCGACTTCCGCTAGCTTGTGCCACCCACATCTTCACACTTCCAGTTTCAATTCCGTGCAATTATGTGCCTCGCTGTAAAAGTATATTAATCTCCTAAAGCCATTGGAAAGTAAAAGACAAGTTACATAAAAACGGATGTGAACTAAAACATGTAGCTCTAAAGAGATTTTAAAAAATAAACTCATTTCCTAAATCTTAACTTAAAAAAGCGAACGAAGAGGTTTCATTTCACGCCAATAGGTAGTCGATACAAGTTCAGGTAAATTTTAAATACATTGCTAGTCCATAACGTAGCTAGGAAAGCAAAGATTCAGAGTCATTTTCTTAGATTCGATTGACCGCCTGATCAAATTTCTTCCTGCGCGCTGATTGGCTGGTTTATAATGGGCCGTCAAAACGAGATCACGTGGTTCATGATCATGCTTAGTTACCCCAGTTTACCCTATACCTAGTTTCATGTTCTGGAGATAATCACATCTAAACTTGATATTTTTTACGAAAATTATGGGGTATGACCTAGAGAGCATAATTTATCTTGACAGAAAGACTAGCTGGGTCGTGCTTTTTCCGTAGCAAGAAATAAAATGATGAATTGAGGATGTGTGACCTATTGGACAATTCCCTGGGGTATGAACAAGAGAGCATTATTTTTCCTTGGCAGAAAGATAAGGCCATAAAACCCTGTTCTATTGGGTTACACGTGTCATGCTTTTCCACGAGAAAAAAAAAATTAAAAAATTTGAATACCACATGATACTTTCTCGTAATTGTCTGTTGCTAAGCCTTAAACTTGATTTTGCATAGAATATTCTTGTTTCCGGGTGTAGGTCTGCAATGTGGACATGTTAAAAGTTTCGTACTCGTCTGTAATACCATACCCATCAAAGTTAAGTAGATCCTTGATCACGTTTGATGGGGGTACCACTTGGAATTGGATTTCATTTCTGCTCTGATCTGCCAAGGATTTTGCCGGAATATGTAGTCCAATAATGTTATTAATACTGACATGACCTCATGATTCACAGTCAGTTATGCGCCGGAGAATATCGATCGGCTTACAATCCAAAATGAATTGAAATACGTAAAGAATAACGTCAACAGAAATTGCCCATTCGAACCGAACCTTGGTAGAAACAGTAACAACCATTTTTGGTGTAGTCGCATGATGTCCACATTCAGACTCATTGTTATTTTGTCGGTGTTTGTGTTGATCCCAACGTCATGTCATTGCGAACTACAAGGAGTCCATCAAAAAAAGGTGAGTAAAAGTTCATTCAAATCAGTATTTATCCGCTAGTCATGTTTTACATATAATTTCATACTGACTGACGAATGAGGATTGTCTATTTGACTATTTAGATGCAAGCGATGCAGATTTAAAACTGATGAGGTTTGGATATGGGGAGGTGGGGAGGGGAGGGGAGGGGGGGATCATTTGAAAGCATCATTTCTTAGTTGTGCACGCTTTTACATAGTCAATTGCGATAAAAGCAAGATATTCAACCACAGAATTTGCGCAGAATTTGTGTTCAACCAACCATGCAATATCAAGCTTAGGAGTTACTTGTTGTTTCTCTTTTTGTGCTTTAATTTTTTTTCTTTTTTTCTCGGTGTGGAAACGGGAGATAGTAAAAGCGCCAGACCGGTTTAATTTAGCCCGCAAAAGTTTTTAGAAAACTTTCTAAGAAAGCTACTGTATTTGGATTAAGAATTATAGGATATCCTATGCTTGTTTTCAAGATGTTGAAAGATGTTTTCAATAGAAAAATGGTGGAAACTAAGCCTAATTCGCACAATTGATTCATAACTCGAAAACTAAGACGTTACTTTTTAAAAACATTGTTTGCAATAACTAACTCTGTTTTTTCTATATGCCAAGTCGATGATGGAAAGGAGATTTTATAAAAGCGCCAGACTGGTTTGATTTAGTCTGCAAAAGCCGTATTAGAAAACTTTCTAAGAAAGCTACTTTGAGGAATTAAAGCTAGTTTAAAACAAAAACAAAGAAAGGAAAAAAAAGAAAGAAGAATTATGGGATGCCGTGAGTATTTTCAATATATTGAATTTTTGATATCAACATCTGGTAAGCCTTTTAAAAGAAAAATGGCGGAAACAAAAATAATTCGCACAAGTGATTCATAACTCGAAAACTAAAACGTTATTTTAAAAAATATTTCTTATAATTGTATAAAAGTTTTGAACTGATCGTAAAAAACGTTCTCAAACGTTAAAAACACCAAAAACACACGCTTTTTTATGAAGCTTTTTCATGAAGTACTAACTACTTTTTTTCTTTTCCAAATTACAAAAAAAATTCGCCTAAGTTGTTTTAGGATATCAAAAAAAAAAAAAAAAAATTATAAATTTCCAAGCACTTCCCGAGATATTTGCATTTATGCTTTGATATATAGCTTAGACATGTTTTGTGAGTGACCTGTTGAACCACTCACTTGAATAGCGCAGCGCGCTGATTCTAAAAATAGCATAAAGATTCGGACAAACATTGCATTCTGTTTAGCCGCTACGAGGATTATACGAACCGATTTATTATTTTTACTTAAAGTTACAATAATAACCCATGTAAATTAAGATCAACTGCGATCGACTGTGAAAATTATCTGCTTAAAATAAACTTGTAAGTTTGTTTGTCCGAATTTCGTCTTTGTCTTCGTTTTTATGACGTCACGGCTGCGCTGCGCTATTTGAGAATTGGAGAGCATAATCTATCTTGGCAAAGTGACTGTGATTAAGCAGAAATTGGTCCTTGATCAAGTGTAGTTATCATTAACAGACTTAATAGACCCTAATTTCGTTGTTTTATTTTGTGTCTATTTGACTACACCAGGAATAATAGTATGTGTTTTTTTTGTTACAGGTTAAATACCTCCACTATGAGTGAAATGTTCTGCTATCCTATTCGGCCCTAAAGCTATTTTGCCCGTTATTCCGTATTCGTATGTTCATATTTTTTCTTTCTTTCCTAGGGGAATACTTCATGCCCTCCTTGCCACCCTGGACCTGCAGGTTTTAAAGGACAGAAAGGAATAACTGGCGAACCTGGAAGTGATGGTAATTAATAGTTCAATGTGAAATGCATGGTTTTGGTAGGCATTCCATGGAATATCCCATGAAATATCACAAGAAACCGTTGAAATATCTGAGTTCGCAGAATATCGAACACTAGACTTTCGTATGAGTTTTGATCCCAATTTTCGCTTTGGGTTAACACTAAAAACCTTTTTTAAACAGTTAGAAACTGATGTACTATGATAAAATGCCTTTTTGAAGCGGTATTGTACAAAGGTGTTTTGTTGCATTTGTGTTACGGTGTAGCTTTGTCAGGCTTTTTTATAGAAAATATATGGGAAATAATTAAATGAAGGCCTAAACCTCATTTACGAATAAAATTTTTGCTTTGGGTTAACACTTTGATTCCACTTTCATAGGTCATCTCCAATTCCAAACAAGTTAAACTTTCTGAATAACAAGATTTTAGCTTTGTATTGGCAATAATTACACCTGTTGTTTTAGAATAATAATTGATTCCTATTTTTATCTTATTTTTATTTCCTATTGTTCAGTATATGACAGCGCTCTTACAATTTCCTGTAAGGGACTGGTCATAAAGTATGTCCCCCTCTCCCCCCCCCCCCCCCCCCCCCCCCTTTTTACCCCCCCCTAAATAATTAACAAATAGGTCTTTTCCTAATTCNTTACAATTTCCTGTAAGGGACTGGTCATAAAGTATTTCCCCCCCCCCCCCCCCCCCCCCTCGCTATACTTTATGACCAGTCCCTAAATAATTAACAAATAGGTCTTTTCCTAATTCGCTTGGATGACCATGAAACAATGGTTTGAAGTCGAGACTGAACTTGATTCTTTTATTCATCAAGTTCAACCTCCACTTAAAACCATTGTTTCGTGATCAGTCAAGCGAATTCGGGAAAGGTTTATTTCCGATATAGTATGGCGTGGTATGTCCTCTTATGTACCACGGCTGTTGACCAATCAGAAAATGAGAAAACTTACATTTGTGGTAAAAAACCAGAATAGAAAGAAAAACATGATAACAAATGGTATATATTGATCAATCACAGGGTTCCCCGGTTATCCCGGTCAGAAGGGAGAAATAGGTGTACATGGTTTCAAGGGAGATGCAGGTCCAAGAGGATATCAAGGTATACCTGGTCCTATGGGACCTCCTGGTGCTCCGGGAAGACTTATTCCACGTGGACGGGATGGTTTGCCAGGGAAAGATGGTCCTCCTGGCGTACCCGGTAATAAGGGTGCTCGTGGTGCTCCGGGACCTCGTGGTGATTGGGATCATAAGACAATGGGGCGTACTGGTCCTATTGGTCCTCCTGGTATACCGGGAAAAGATGGCTTGAAAGGCGTAAAGGGAAGGAGAGGTTTTACGTATGCTGCTCCTCGTGGTGATCGTGGTGAATTCGGTGAACCTGGTGAAGTGGGACGTCCTGGTAGAAAGGGACAAAAAGGTTCGCAACTTGTTGGTATGAGAGGAGATCCTGGCATTGACGGAAAGCTTGGTGATCCTGGCCAAGATGGTGCTCCTGGTGATATGGGTCCTCCTGGTGTACCAGGGAAAGATGGTTCTCCTGGTGTACCGGGGATAAATGGCGCTCCTGTTCCCATTCCTACACTTAAGTGCATCCAAGTAAAGACCAATGGAAACAATGCTAATTGCTCTGCTGGCTACAAAGTCACTGGTTGTGCTTGTGGGATGAACTGCGGCTCATGGATCATACAAAATGATTTCACTCAGTGTTCCTGTAACCTCAGCTGTAACTCAGGCAAACCACTCGACTGGACCAGAGCAGTTTGTTGTCAAATATCTGCTGTGGTAACTGGTACCATTTCTGCACAATAATGACACTCCCTCAGAATCTCATCCATATARATGATCAGTAACTAGTATCAATGAGTAAACTTTAAGATAGATAGTCTTTCTGGACCTGCTCTTCTTTGCATCACAGTAGTACAGCCTAGATTTCCAAGATCTTGTAGCAACTTTTTTATTTCCTTTGTAATAAAATTTGTAGCACTGCTATAAACCACTCTGTTCTGTGGTGCTTGTTGTAGTTTCGTTTTGTAGTTGCTGTATTGTTTTGATGAAATTTAGATATATTTAGGCTAGCTTGACACCCAAATTTTCACACTTTTGCAGAATCAAATTAAAAAATAAAAGACAAGTAGTTACTTAAAAATGAAAAAAAAACAACAACACACACACACACACACAAACCAAAAAACAAAACAAAACAACAACAACAACAACAACAACAACAACAAAATAAACAACAACAGGTAGCTATATAGAGATTACTTACCTCGTCCTGATGCTTCAATGCAATACCCTTCCAATATTGCACATTGCCTGATTTATTCAAGCCGAGAAAACATTACTTAAGAAATAGAAAACGCGCGCGTGTGCTGTGTGCTGTGTGCTATTATAAACCACGCGGGGATTGGCAGAACACAAGAGAAGTGATAGGAGAAGCACAAAGCGTAGAGGAGTGCGGTGCTTCTGACAATTATTTGAGTGTTCTGCCAATCCTCAAGTGCTTTATAACTCCACACAGCACAGCAAGTTTTTTATTTCTTTTATGAAATGCAAAGGGCGCGTTCGTGCTGTGTGCTCTCCTAAAGAACAATCAATTTTCCAACCAATTAAAACGCGAGATTTATAACAGTTATTGATAATGAGTTATAATAATGATGGTTGAGCATTGGGACTACAAAAATGCCGTTTGCATTGCAATGAGCGCAAATAAAGAAAGATATTACACGTATTACAATCAGACTTTGTTCTTGAACTCAGAATAAATTCTAATTTAAAAGCTAGTCGGCTATAACTTATGGGGCTTTCCGATGGTTTTGGGGGCATTTTAGGGTGTCTATATAGTTATCATAGTTACCAAAGAGGCCGCCGTGTTTTAAGCTCTGAATGACCTGGGCATAAGTTTAGTTACAGCTCCCGATTCCGATTCTGATTCCGATTCTTTGGTTCACACTTGATCACAAGCGTCATAATCGGAATGGGAGTTGGAAGAAAAAAAGCCTTCCGATCCTTTCGATTCCGATTCCATCTCCCAGATGTTAGCAGATCGTCCATAATAACGCGTTTATCAATCGTCTTTTGTCATCTGGTTACGAACATTACACGAAACTTACTTCCGATTTCAAAGTTCGTTGGGCAAATCCCCAGTGCACTACTTCGATGATACGGCAGCCATCTTGGATCGCGATGCATTGTGTGGCATCCAGGGGGGAAGGAATGAAGCTTTGTTAAAGTAATGACGTTTGCGTCATCTTTGTTTTGCTTTGCCCCCCGCCCGCCTGGCAAGATGGCTGCCGTATCGTCGAAGTAGTCGTTTTAGTTCCATTCAGTGTGAACTTGGTTAGATGAAAATTTACGTCTATATATAATTTAAATATTTATTGAAGACGCAAGATTCAAATGAAGAAATATTTCACCATTCAACTATTCACCTTATTTAGAATCAATACTGAAGGTATCATATTAGGGCCGGGGTCCGGTTAGAGGCACTTTGAGCTTATTTTGCCAGGCTGTTGGTTATCAAAGCCCACCCTAGACATATATTAGACAACATGGGTTTTAGAGTTCACAAAATCAATAAGATTTTCCACATTTATACTGACATAAACTTTATTGCACAGGAAATAAAAAAGTTGCTAAAGATCTTGTAAATCTATACTGTACAACTGTTAGACAAAGAAGAGCAGGTTCAGAAAAACTGGTATCTATCTTAAGGTTTACTATTAGATACTACTGATCATCTATATGGATGAGATTCTGAGGGAGTGTCATTATTGTGCAGAAATGGTACCAGTTACCACAGCAGATATTTGACAACAAATTGCCCTGGTCCAGTCGAGTGGTTTGCCTGAGTTACAGCTGAGATAACAGGAACACTGAGTGAAATTATTTTGCATTGCCCATGAGCCACAGTTCTTCCCACAAGCACAACCAATAACTTTGTAGCCAGGAGGGCAGTTGGCATTGTTTCCATCGGTCTGTACTTGGATGCACTTTAGTGTAGGAACTGGACCAGGAGGACCATCTCTACCAGGTACACCAGGAGTACCATCTTTCCCTGGTACACCAGGAGATCCCTTAGGACCTGATGCACCTTTTCTTCCTGGGTAACCAGTGTCTCCCTTATGACCAGGAAGACCTTTTTGTCCCTTGTCACCAGGATTACCATCATCTCCCTTTTCTCCAGGATTTCCCGGCCATCCCGGATATCCCTTGATACCGCGTACACCAGGATTGCCTTTAGGACCAACAGCACCATATTGACCGTGTGCACCAGGCAAACCAATTTCCCCCGGTTCACCAGGTTCACCAGGAGGACCAGGATACGTCTTTAAACCCGAACCAGGAAGTCCCTTAGGACCAGTGGCACCTTTTTTACCGGGTATACCAGGTTCACCACGAAACCCTGACAAACCAGGGTCTCCATCCATACCAAGGTAAACATCCATTCCTTTTACACCAGGAGGTCCCATTAGACCAGGTTCACCTTTTGGTCCCTCACGACCTTCCTGTCCCTTAGGACCAGGATCACCTTTAACTCCTTTTGGACCGTGTAGACCCGGTAACCCTGTGAATCATCAATATATTCCATATGTTATGTTTCTTTTTCTACCCTGCGCGCGCATATGTTTTTTTTGGGAGAATGGGGGTGGGGGGGAGGGGGTTAATTCTTTCTGATCAGTTTTAACGTTTCATTTATAGAAAGAATATGAAAATTATTTGAAAATTATTAGTTGCCTATATTTAAATTTTGGATATGACTTTTTCAGGTGATCTAAGCACGCACTTCCGGTTACTATTAACCATCAGAAGCATTTTTGTTCCATCGCCAAAAGTCCCATGATATCTCCAAAATCGAGGAGTCGTATTTCAAGTTCACCTTACATACATACGTCCTGAAATATAGCTTTACATTGAAAAATTCTATGTTTCATGTACCAGAAGAGCTCCCTTTTGTCCTATCAGTAGTTAAAATTAATAAAAGCAAAACATAAAGGCAATTGAAGTAAGCGAAATCACCGTTTTCTTAATTAATCACCAGCCGCCATTTTGATTACCGTGAGATATTATGAAATAGGAGACTGGGTATTAGGAACTCTTCGATTTGACAAACAATCGGCCTTTGCGCGCTTCGAGCCGAGATCACCTGATTCCTACACCGTTGAAAATACAACCAATTTAGATTGAGAAAAATCGCTTCGTATATTCGTCGGTAAAACACTGTTCCTTCCCATCAGGCCTTTCAGCCTAGGTCGCCTATAGGTGTATTTTCAATCGGCCATGAAATACCCAACGAGGCACTTGTAAATTTTGTTACATATGTATACAGAGCCATATGCAAAAACTTTGACCCTCTTGTTCATACATACAAGTATATAAAGAGCATATTAGAAATCATGGGATATCCTCCCTGATATTGTTTTCGAGATGTCCATCACTAGGGCTTTCTGAAAAAGAAGAAGAAGAAGAAGAAGAAGAAGAAGAAAAAAAACGGCAAAGATATCCCATAATCTTTGATATACTTTTGATATACTTTATAGATACAATCCGTACGGCCCTGCTCGAATCCTGCGACCGTATTGACATAATTTGCAACTTTTAAAATATCTCTTTATTTAGGGTCATATGATAAAATGCTTATTGACTGAGTAAAGTCGGGTCGTACGGGAAAATATTTGGCTCTCTGCTGAGCCTCGTGTTTTTAAGCTTGCTTCTCTCGTGCTCTACAGCTCCCAGGGTGTTTATATCATAGTACAGAGACATGGCCGCGCGTTTGTCACACATAACTAGCCATTACTTACCTGCGTCACCTTTAGCGCCTTTAAAGCCCTTCTCGCCTTTCGGTCCTCGAAGACCTACAGGAGGACACGTAGGAAGCCTAGGAAGCCTAGGACGCCTAGTGGACGGACGCTGTTGACGGATAACATTAAAAAGAACTTAGATTGCTTAATTACACTAGAACGGTGCAAAATTACCCTGGGTTCAAGAGGGATACTTTTTCGCGCAAAATAGATCACATATCTAGTAAAAGGAAAGTGAAATATAATGTTTTTACATTAAATTAAATGCTTTTATATTAAGAGAGAATTCTTTTCGTATTCAAGCAGTGAGCGCCAAAAACTATTTTCTTGAAGAAAGGCTGTTGTACAAGGCTAACATCGTGTTATTCAGAAAGTTTAACTTGTTTGGAAGTGGAGATGACCGATGAAAGTGGAATCAAAGTGTTAACCCAAAGCAAATATTTTTATTCGAAAATGAGTTTGGCGCTTTTTGCCATTATTGCTCATTATTGAAAAAAATTTCCTCTAATATTAAACGATGAAATATTAGTTTGTCTCTATCATTGAATTATCATATGTGCAGATATGACTTGATATTTTATCTGCATTTCATGAGTAAGTAACGGGCAAGATAGCTTATAGGCCGGACAAGGCATAGCAAAACATTTCACTCAGAGTAAAGGTATTTAACCCGTAACGAAAAAAACACTACTATTCCAGGTGTAATAGTCAAATAGACACAAAAGAAAACTATGGAATTAGGGACTATTAATGTGTATTAGTCAACGACGGAGGACAAAGTAGCGTCCGAACCGTCAGTAAGTTTTTTCATCTTTTCACGGTGTATAATTTACCCTTTCATCACTACTGCAACATCTATTGCATGTATGGGTTTAGTGAATTCACTCTAACCCGTGAAATATTCAGTAGACTTAATTGAAGGTAATTCCATTGTTTTATTAAATTGCGTCTGGTAGTGATTACTACGCTACACTTGAACATGTAAATCAATCTAACAAACAAAAGTAGTGAGATAATTGAAATTAAGCATTTTGGGATGACAATCATAGTATTTTAAGGCCTATGCATATGATGCAATAACTTTCATCAGAGCATAAAGATCTGGAGCTGACCTATATATCGTTCATCACTCTAGTTTACTTGCCAAGATAAATTATGCCCTCATTCTTAAACCCGGAAGTGATAACCCAGTTCAATATAGGTCACCCATATCCCTGATTTGTCCTACACCGGCTTTCGTGAAAACAATATGAAAACACTTCCGGCATCTCATTTTAATGAGTAAAAACAAGCATAAAAAGAGCACATCAATACACTAGACTAGCTTGCAGAAAAACATGTTTTTCGCACAAAGCAAATATTCCAGACTGCACTTGGCAAGGAAATGGGATTAGTATCGATTACCGAATCTGCTCTCATTTGAGTCAATACGAAGTTCCTCATGATAGACCGATCGTCAAGTTTACGTAGCACTTGAATAAACTAAAAAACCTGTTGTCCCTCCATCCTGTCGCCAAACTATTGGAATTTAAAAGATGACTTGGGGATATTGGAAAATCATATAACTATGAGAAAAACTTTCAAACCCATGAATAAAAGTACGAATTAGGCTTTACTCATATTTTTACAATAATTTCTCGCGCGCTGATTGGTTATTTTTTTAATCATCAATAAGAGAACAGACAGATGAAGATGACGTCAAAGAGCGCACGCTCTTTCAATTGGTTGTTTTGATCGCTAAAAATGAGAAGTTTTTATGGTTTTTGTTATTGTAAAAAAAACAAATAGACATCAGTTTTCTATGTGTCTGTCCTCTTATTGACTACAAAAAATAAATATAAAATAGAATAAATAAATAAATAAATAAATACAATGATCTTTATTTAAGTGTCTAGTCGTTCTAGCGTTTCGCACTAATTGGGGACACTTTTCGCTCACACGCACTACCACTACATTCAGTGTTCTATGCACACGACGCTCAACTCACATGTTGATTTTTATCGGCTACGCCTAGTGGATCCACACTACTTTGACAATGTGATGACGCAATTTATCGTCAATAAGAGGACAGACACATAAAAAACTGATGCCTATTTGTTAAATGATGGCGAGTATTAAAGGGATCGGACCACAACAGCAACAGCAGCGAGAGACGGCGCATTAACGGCTAGACATTATTGATTGACAGAAACATCATAGGCTCCTATAAACACATAACATTACTACAGTACTGTATTTTTCATGCGCAACTTGTTTGTTCGTATGATGTAGTTAGTTAGCTTTAAAAGTTGAAAATTGACTAATTTACAGACGTTTGTATGTCTGGGGTATACGCTAAATGATAGATGTGAAATGAATAACCGTGAAAAAAAAAAAAAAAAAAAAAAAAAAAAGACATCTGATCCAACAATCCGCCCTTCTCCCCCTCCCCCTCTCCCCAGCGAAGCTCACATAGATAAAAAGCGGTTCCTTAGTATGAGCTTAGCAATACATATACTTCAAAAGTCCACGAATCTTCAATAAAACACAAGAATATTCTACACAATATAGAAATAGGCTAAGGTTTAGCATTCAATCTCCATCCCTTAGTGTGAAAACTGAGGAACAACAAGCTAGGTTCGTATACTAAATACAACTGAGTGATCAACTTTCTGCTTACCGTATATTTCCGCTGAAAAAGGAATGCACGACATATCGTTGGGATCAACACAAACGCTAACACAAGAACCTTGACTCTGACTAACATCATGCAACTACACCAAAAATGGATATGTTCTTGATACCAGGTCTCGGTTTGAATGGGTGATCTTAAAGGACGTTTTGCATTTTATTCCTGTCGAGATCGTAACCAGAGCGAGATATTCTCTGGCGGATTAATGAGGTCAAAAGGTAATCTTCATTTCAATAACACGTATTCCGCCAAAGTCTTAGGCAGAGCAGAAATTATTTGATTCCAGTAGCCAGCTCGATATTCTGCGTGGGGTAACGAAATCTGCTGATGAGATCATTGAAATGATTCCGGCATCAATATTGGCAGAGCAGAAATGAAACCCAATACTTTAGTTTCGAGTTGTCTGTTGCTCAGGGTTAGCCTCGATTTTGTGCGGAAAATTCATGTTTCAGTGAAGGTCCGTGGAATTTCATAGTGTTTGTATTGTAGAAGTTGTGCATTCTTTACTTTACTGTTGGTGTTTGTGGATTTTCAAAGACACTAATATGAGGCTAAGCTTGAGTTAATTTTATTTTGTACTCAAGGAACACAGCAGTACTTTGGGACTCGAAAATGCTTCGAAGTGGTTTCCCTTTGTGCGTGATGGGTATTCATGGTCGGGTTAAACTGTGCAATTGATTGACATGTAGAAACATTGTATATATTGAATCTGCCCAAGGGCACTAGGACACCGAATGTGGTTGGATTTCTATAAGTTTTTTTTCCTTTCGATTATTTGAATTAAATTAACGTTATACTTGTTTACTTATCTTGTGTCCGTGTTCCTTCGTTCGCTGTTGTAATGCAGACGTTTTCATCCCAAAGGTCAAACGGTTTGAATAGCCTATGAGCGTTACTTCTTTAACGGCCGTTCCCAATCTCGTACCCAGAGTCCTTATTTCTTACTGCGCGTGCTCGACGAAATAATTGGGCTCTGGAAAACTCCAATATTTCCTGTGCTGTGATTGATTCTCGAGAACAAAGGAAGATACCGGAAGTAAAAATTACAGTACTAGGGAAAATAAACACGATGGCGTCTCGAATTAAGTACACCAAAAAAGCCTGTAGGGCCGGATTTTTCAAAGTTTTGCCGGTTTTGTAATGGAAATTGTATTGATGTCCATCCAATAGATATTTTCGGAGTTAATTWAACTGAAAACCATCTTCAAAACCTAATTTTCCAAGCGCAAATTCACATGCTCGTTGAACATCGTCCGCCATTTTGAATTTACCTAGTCTGTCATAATGCGCATGTGCGAGAAACCCAGAATCTGGGTCTTCCGGTTTGGAGTTT